ACCTATTTTTTATGTTTTTTTCACCTTTTTTACCTTTTTTGGAGGTTTTTGCTTTAAACTACATTTTTATACTTTTGTTACATATTTTTTAATTTGTCAGATTATTTTCACATATTTGTTACCTATTTTTACGTATTTTTACTTATTTTATTTTTTTTGTTCTTTTTAAAATTTGCGCCAATATTTTATCCAGGGCGTGCAACTCAAAGGTAGTATAGTATAGTATAGTATTTTTTCTTATGGTTACAGACTGTAACAGTAACTTTCTTTACAGTTACCTTCTTTGTAGTTACTCAGTACTAGTGAGCTTATGTTCTGTCATAGAACTTCTGTGTAGTGAGTGTCACTCAGTAAAACACAGTTTATTGCATAGAAATAGTTTATTGTGGGTATGTTCTGTGTTTGGGTATGCGGCTAAACAAAATTATAAACGAAACTTAAACTTTTAATGATTTTTTTTACCTAAAATGCTTTTTTTTACTACCTTTTTAGTTACCTATTTTTCAGTTTTTAGTACCTAAATATCCCATCCCTAGTCATTAGTAATGACTCATTACAGACATTTTGAACTTAAGAGCGTGTATACACGCTACTATAATTTCACAAGAGCGTTATAAACTCAAAAATTAAAAAAAAATCCCAATTTTGCGCAGTATGCTGTGCAATATAATCTACTGATTTTAATCCAAAACTACTATGACGACCCCGATATTCAATTTTTTGTTGCTCCACTCCACATGTTTTGGCTCCCATATAAATAGTTTATGACAAAAAATATCCAGCCGTTTTTCATATGGGGTTACATACTTTTAAGCACGATTGTAGTTATGTTGGTTGAAACGAGTGATAGTAGTTACGGGTTAAAAGTCAGTTATAGCATTTTAATGTTGGCAAGACTGATTATATAATGTTTAATGAACATATCCCTGTATATCCATGGTGTCCAGAAAATAGTGTGCAAAAATACAAAAATAGAAAGAAATCTTACAAAATCAACTCGCCAAATGGTTTTTTAATATTATTTCCAAAACATTTTTAGATAAAATAAAGAAATTTTGTATGCTTACTTAACTTTTTATGCTAAATTTAAAAATAACAAATTTAAATTTTTATTTATGAGTGTACTAAACGGCCTAGGGTAAGTTTACTCCCAATTTTGGCTGCAGAATATAACAATTTAGAGTTTTCCACGTAAAAGGGGTATGTACTCCACGGTAGGTCTAAATCCAGTCCATATTGACCGGATTAGCACCACGTTTTTTATGACAGATTTTGAAATTATATATTAAAATAAGCTCAAACACCCGTTTATAGCAAAATTGCCCGAGCCGTTTTGTCGGAAATCGAAATTTAGAGCAAAAAATTACAAAAATGAAAAATTTTGCTTGCAAATCAATCAGGTTTACTAAATACGAGTCATTATGACATTATAATAATCAAAATCGAGTCCTTCGCGCGAAGAGATTTTACTATTTTCCCGTGAGGTGGCGCCACAACGAAAGGTCATCTGTCAAACTGTTTACTTTACGGACATAGTTGCTGAACTACATATTGAGCTTTACGCTGCAGAATAGTTTATTGTCAGATTCTGAACCTTAGAATAATGGACGTTTAAATAATGTATGTGAAAACTCAAGCTTGGACCCATTAAGAAAATCGCGAAAAAGTTTGCTTGTTATGTTTTAAAATGAAGTCGGATATGCGAAAAATTACTGGAGCTCTTCAGAGCGCGGTTCAAGACATGTTTCCTTTTAATCCTAAAGACAATCGTCTTTTACGACTTATATGTAGTGCTTGCAAAATACTTAGTTACCGAAAAAAAAGGATCAGAATTCGTCTGCTGTTCAGTTACCAGATTATTCTACATTTCCTTCTTTACCAAAACATGCAAGGAAACAAGATAAAATAAAATGTCAGTGCAAATTATGCGAGTTCGCACGAACACTGGGGCATCAGAATTTTTTACAGAAAAATACCAGTGTCAAGAAAAAAGTTGCCAAGCAATGTGCAAGGTGTAGAAAATCTTTGCAAAAAGGACTAGCACATTTTTGTTATAAAATGCACTGTTATGCAAATCTAGTCAAGTCAATTCAATCAGAATTGCCTAGAAGAGTACAGGAATATTTAGTAACTGATCTGATTACAAATATAAGCAATATCAATATTTAAGCACCGCGGTGCTGAAATGCACTTATCTCGACGCCATGGTAAACCTCTGAAAGTCACACTCAATAACAATACAGAAAAATGAGATAAACAAATTCGTGCAGAAGATGTTTTAAAGATTGGTACAGATTTTAGAATTTCAACAAATACTGTAGTGGGTGTAGCTCCGACTCTTCGTACTTCGGACCGAGAAGAAGAATAAGGAGACCATCGCTACGGAAAGTTTATTGCAGAAACATTGACGGAAACTCATTAAAAATAAAAAAGATAAATGAGGAGGTTTACCATGGCGTTGAGATAAGTGCATTTCAGCATCGGGTTCTTAAATATTGATATTGCTTATATTTGTAATCAGATCAGTTAATAAATGTTCCTGTACTTTTGGAGGCAATTCTGATTGAAATGACTAGATTTGCATAATTGTGCGTTTTATAACAAAAATGTGCTAGTCCTTTTTGAAAAGATTTTATACTCCTTGCACATTGCTTGGCAACTTTTTTCTTGACACTGATATTTTTCTGTATAAAACTCTGTCCCAGTGTTCGTACGAACTCGCATAATTTGCACTGACATTTTATTTTATATTGTTTTGGTAAAGAAGGAAATGTAGAAATCAAATCTGAACAGCAGACGAATTCGGATCCTTTTTTTCGGTAAATATATATTTTGCAAGCACTGCATATGAGTCGTGGAAGACGGTTGTCCTGAACCGCGCTCTGGAGAGTTCCAGTAATTTTTCGCATATTCGCCTTCTTTTTAAAACATAACAATCAAACTAATTCGCGATTTTCTTCATGGGTCCCAGCATGAGTTTTCACATACATAATTTTAACGTTCATTGTTATAAGGTACAGAATTTGACAAAAAACTATTCGGCTCGGGTAATTTTGCTATAAACGAGTGTTTGAGCTTATTTTAATATATATTTTCGAAATTTGTCATAAAAAACGTGGTGTTTATCCGGTCAATATAGACTGGTTTCAGGCCTACCGTGACTCTAGTTAAATGCACAATTTTCGAATAAAAATAAAATAACAAATACCTATATCTTTTTTCTTTTTTAATTTAATATATTTACCAAGAAATATTAATAAAAAATACATTTAATTCCCAAAAATACATTATTTTATCTAAAACCGTCTCAGTAATAATAATAATAAAAAACATCTCTGTAGGTTCCTTAGTGGCCATTGCCATGTTCATATAAAGTTTTCTTTATATTTTTGGCTCTAAAACCCGATTGTAGATTGTTAAACACTAGTTTCAGGACACCCTGTATATGCAATAATTGCAATTTGAAAATTCGTTAATTATTTGCGACTTTTTACTGGAGACCCCATAAGTCGATATGTGCCGAAACTTCCAAAATGTAAGTTTGAAACCGTATGCTCAAATTAAAATATAAATAAAAATGTATAGCAGCATCGTTACTGATTAAGTAATACTGAGGAGTAAATTTTAAATTTTTCACAAGAAAATTAACATACACCCAGAGCTGTTCCGAGTACAATGAAAAAGTACTCGAGTACTAAATACAAGTACTCTTATATAAAAGTACTCGAGTACCAAGTACAAGTACAGTACCGTTGTACTCGAGTACCCATACGAGTACAAAGTACCGAGTACACTTTAGTTATAAAATGTTGGGAAAAATGCTAGAGAAATGAGGCGATTAAAAATGAATTTAGAATCACTAGTGCAAAACTAAACACTAGCCGGCCTATTGCCTTCATCAAATATTGATATTTCGCTTTATGTTAATTATCAAGGTCGGCTGGTATCTTGTTTTACTTTGCCTTAGCTTTATTTTTTAATTATCTTTTTGGGGAATATTGTCACCTTATTTCTACCAAAATATAAACAAAATTACATTTCATACATAAGTAAAAGCCTTTTGTTCAATGCTCTTTCCTGTGTCTTTATTTATTGATTGAGGCTGTCTTAAGGCTGTCGTGTGAGGCAGGCTGGCTGAGGCTGCCAAATTTTCAACACCCACGCCTTACCTTACCGCATAAAAATGTACTCATTGCATACTTTGGATGTACTCGAGTACACGTAAAAGTACTCGAGTACACGGGAAAGTACCCGAGTACACGGAAAAGTACTCGAGTACATTTTTGCAATCTTAAATGTATCTAGTACAAGTATAAGTACATCCAAATTTAAGTACTCGGGACTGAGTACCGAGTACACTGAAAGTACTTGGAGTACAGTGTTTGAGTACTTGTACTCGAGTACCGCACAGCTATGCATACACCTAATATGGTCAATTTCTAGTGGCCGATTTTTTTGCGGGTAAGTGTATTAAGCATTTTTTATTTTTGCATGCATATTTCAGCCTTTTTATGTTGCAACATAATCCCGTCTTTACTAAAATGTATTGGTGTGAAATAAGACATTTGTTATATATGCAGTGCTCTTCATTCACAAATGTCACGTAATTTCAGAAGATACCTATATCATTTATTTGCATTTATAAATATTAATTATAATTATTATACAGGATGCTTCATTTGACTCTGGTACATAATATGCAGTTATCATAGTTTCACTTAACATATTGCATATTATTTTTATATTAAACATTATTATTATTATATAAAACATTAAACCCGGCCCTGGAAACCGGTAAATCACATCAAAAGCAATTTATGTCCAGATCAACAGCGGAATATTTTAGTTTTATTTAAAAATAAAATTCTATCTAAGCAGTTGATGTGATTCACAATATTTAATTAAGATTAATATAATTAGTTGATAACTACTATAATCTAGACTATATATAAAGGTACCTACCAGCAACAACTTGTTTTCAACTAGGCTCAATAATTATAATTATTATTACCATGAAATTTACAGTGTTTTTTGTTTTGTTTTTAGTTGAATTAATATTTAAAGTGTCTGCAAGTTAGTATTTAAAATTATTAAACATTATTCATTATTTATTTTATTTTAGCGAATGTAGTATGTTATTATATGAGCACAAATGGATATGGATCAGTTTTGCCAGAGTCCATTAATCCAAATCTTTGTACCCATCTTAATTACGCATTTGTAGGTTTAAATAAAAATGGAAGTTTATCATATTTGAATCAAGATTTAGATGTAAAGAAAAGTAATATTTTTTAACTGGGTACTTATATAAATATATATAAATTATTTGATATATTAATTTTTTTAGATTTATTTAAACGAGTTTCTGCTTTGAAATCTATAAACCCAGACCTAAAAGTGCTGTTTAGCATAGCAAGTCCAATATTTACCGAGGTGGCATCAAATGAAACCAAAAGAGAACTTCTGGCAAATTCCGCAAAAGAATTTTTAAAAACATTTAATTATGATGGAATTGATTTAGATTGGGAATTTCCAAAATCGAATCAAACGGTATTTTTTTATTCAATGCATATTTAATTGTCCTAATAAGATATAATTCGGCTGTTCCAAACGTAACAGAAAAGTGTGATTTTCTGCCCGACTGTTTTAGATTTCTATCAACATTTGTGTATTATTATGTTTAAGGCTCAAAACATTCTAAAATGGGTTCAAACATTTTTTAAAATTTACAATGGCGTTTACAATCGCTGATTACTTTTTACAGGTATGTTTATATTTTATTTTATTTTTTTACGTTGGCATATATAAAATGTCGTTGTAAAGGTATTATAAAGACCTTTAAAGTAAGTGAATCCAATTTTTTTAAAACATTGTTTAAATATATTATATATTTTTTAACAATTTATTGTCCCAATATTAAAATTTTCGAATATTATTTTTCTAAAATTACCTTTTTAATGGTACTCTCTAAAAATGAATTGGTCAAAAATGATTAATTGAATTGCCGGAATGCACAACCGACGCAGCGCGGGGCCAGTAGGGTACTGCATGGAGACCGTTCAATTTCAACAAAATTCTTTAAATTAAACTCGCGATAACTCCCTAACTAAACGTGCGATTTTTATGAAATTTGGACATAATACTTAGATTGGTACAGCGATGCTATTAAAATAAAAAATACAAAATTTTTACCAGAATTAATTAATAAATGCATCAATATTATTTAAGTCATAACTATGCTTAAACTAGTAGATGTTTATAAATTATATACATATATATATATATATATATATATTAGGGTGAGCCAAAAAAACTAACCTATCGGATTTATGGGTTAAAATGAGCCTACATACCGAGCAAAAAATTTCCCTGCAAGGCAAAATTTTTTGCTCAATTTTAAAAGGTGTCGGTGAGCATTCTAAGTTTTCCATTGAAATCTTTTTTCATTAAAAAGACTATAACTTTTGAACCGTTTGAGATAAAATTTTTTACGTCGCGGATTCTTGTAGAGCATAAAATTTCCCAAAGAATCTATACTGGGATTATTTTTTATAATTCAAAAATTCGTATGTTTGAAAGCTTTGAAAAGTGTAAAAAATCACTAAAACTGCAGTTTTAGTGATTTTTTACACTTTTCAAAGCTTTCAAACATACGAATTTTTGAATTAATAAAATAATCCTGGTATAGATTCTTTGGGAAATTTTATGCTCTACAAGAATCCGCGACGTAAAAAATTTTATCTCAAACGGTTCAAAAGTTATAGTCTTTTTAATGAAAAAAGATTTTTTTACGTGTTATTTCAATGGAAAACTTAGAATGCTCACCGACACCTTTTAAAATTGAGCAAAAAATTTTGCCTTGCAGGGAAATTTTTTGCTCGGTATGTAGGTTCATTTTAACCCATAAATCCGATAGGTTAGTTTTTTTGGCTCACCCTAATATATATATATATATATATATATATATATATGGTTTTTTTCTTGGTAAAATAAAGAAGATTTTCTCCGAATTTGACAATTATTAATAAATTATTATAGCCGTAATACTAATAAATAAGAGAGCCTGCGGCGGCGTAAAAAGCTTAATTGCAACAAATCATTTATTATCAGTAATTATTACTAAATGTGTTTATATTGCACACTGTTCACTGTACAATATAAAACAGGAATTTTATTTTGAAATAAAATTACTACCTTATCTTTTAACTTTTAGCAACATTTGCTTCCCACAAATTATTATTCTTCGATGTTTTTCGTCCGAACAAATCGGACGAAAAAGATCGAAGAATAATAATTTGTGGAAACCAAATGTTGCTAAAAAGTTAAAAGATTTATTCATTTATTTATTCTTTTACAAACACAATATAATAATATTAATTACAACATGTCGATACCCTAAACTTAATCCTACATAGCCTAATACTAAATAACATTAAAATTAAAAAATATCTGGATATGCTTTACAGTGGTATTAAAAAAATCAATATCACAGTTATCAATTAGATTATTGCACAGCACCAACATATAATTAAGCTGCGAACAGTCTTTTTTATTAGTATAAAACAGTCTTTTATTACTTATCCTTAAGTTAATCTTTGGCACTGAAAATTGAATATTATTAACAATTTATAGATCTTGTTTCAACAAAAAATATAAAGAAAACAGCTTGCATATTTCTTCTTTCGAGGATTACAAAATTAAAATAATTTAACATATAGATTTCTTAGATATTTACATGTAACAAATTATAATGTATATAATGTATGTATCTATAGATACATATGATACCAAAAACCGGTATAAATTATATTCCTTACATGTAAATATCTAAGAAATCTTTTTTGTACTTTTTGAATGACATTACTATTACTTTCTGCTGTAGGTGACCAGATAATTCAAGCATATTCAAGATGAAGCCTCACTAGTGCATACAATATATACAATTTAGTAAGGGATGAAATATGTTTAAAATATTTGGCATTTCTAAGTACAAAACCAAGTACCCTAAATGCCTTATTTAGGTACCATTGTATTGTAGGTAGACTTGAATTTCATATTTAATTGCGATTTTACACCCAGATCTTTACATTAATAAATTCTACTTAAGCTAATGTTATTTAGATTATATGTACTATTAATAAATTTACCTTTACTTGTGTGTTATAGTTGCACACTTTTCTACGTTAGGAAACATCTTATTTACTTGAAGCCATTCTGATACATAGTCTAGGTCTTTTTGTAACATTTCGTTATCTTTTTCGTTGTTAATCTGTTTATATATTTAAAAATCAAATCAAACAGTAGACAAGATGAATATTTAGAACTTAGCGGTCAATTATTGATAAAAATAGCAAACAGTAGCGGCCCTAGGTAATCATTTTATTTCAAAATAAAATTCGTGTTTTATATTGTACAGTGTAAAGTGTTCAATGTAAACACATTTAGTAGTAATTAGCAATAATAAATGATTTGTTGCAAATTAAGCTTTTAACGTGATAAATCGAGTTTAGTTTCGATACTTGTGCACTTTGTTGTCTTTACGCCGCCGCGGCGCGCCGCGGGCTCTTTTATTTATTTGATTTACGGCTATAATAATTTATCAATAATTGTCAAATTTGGAGAAAAACTTCTTTATTTTACTAACAAAAAAACCGTATATATATAATTTATAAACATCTACTAGTTTAAGCATAGTTATGACTTAAATAATATTGATGCATTTATTAATTAATTGTGGTTAAAATTTTGTATTTTTTATTTTAATAGCATCGCTGTACCAATCTAAGTATTCTGTCCAAATTTCATAAAAATCGCACGTTTAGTTAAGGAGTTATCGCGAGTTTAATTTAAAGAATTTTGTTGAAATTGAACGGTCTCCATGCAGTACCCTACTGGCCCCGCGCTGCGTCGGTTGTGCATTCCGGCAATTCAATTGTCTTAGCGAAAAAGCAGCAACTAATAATTCTCGTCAACAGCAATTTGTATGCCGGACATTTAGCAGTCAATTACTATGTAAAATTGTCCGCTGAATCGGAAAATGTCGGCAAAAGTTATAAAAGTATAACAGTTTTTAGGATATATTCGATTTTTCATATAACATGGATTTGACTATATTTTCTGATTCAGGAGACAATTTTACCTAAGAATTGTATGTTAAGGTTCAGGATACAAATTGCTGTGGATCACAGTAATTAGTGGCTGCTTTTTTACTTTGAAAACTACTAATTTTTTACTAATTCATTTTTAGAGAGTAACTTGATCTAAATGGGGGCTTTAATGGTTCAAAGGAAAAAACTCGATAAGCTCAACTAAAATACAATAGTTTATTATCAAGAAACATCCGTGATTACAACGAATTCATATGGCGGAAGCACAAACGGAGAATGTTGAACTCGTTGTTACATGCAAAATATTCAAGTAAAATTATTTCCAAATTCAGATAATAAGAGCAGTCTTCCTCTTTAACAAATCCAGAATAGATTTTTTGACGCTTAAGTGCCGTTTCTTGGAACGCGTTACAATTCTTGACAAATAAAAATGGTTATAATTTTTTCCCCATTAGTATTCATTTATCGTCTGTATGATTTTTCAGAAAAATATTTTTCTGTAGCTGATTTACTAGGACATTCCAGGTACAAATTTAAGTGACTATTTTCAGTGGAAGATCAACATTACACATTCTTTAGTATATCATGATATTACTTAATCTGTTTTGGTTCATAAATCAATTTTACATTTTTCACATAATAAATGTGTAGCCTTCTCATCAAGAGCCAAGACATACTATTTTGGCCTTAAAGATACAAATGACAAAAATCCGATTTTAGGGACATAATATTTCTTAATTTTATGCGAGTTGTTGTTCTGAAACTCTAACCCTGTTGCACTGAGAAAAATGGTCGTTAACTGTTAAAGTAACTGGTTAATTTCTAACGAGCTACAACTTAGAATAGGGCGCACATAATGTGAGTTTGATTCTAAAATATGGTTCGTTGGAGAAATTTTAATTCATCATGTATTATTTTTAAACAACTTATGTATTAGTGTGTAGTTTTAATGAGTTAAATGTTAACTAATAACTTGGTAATAGAAATCTAGCGGCGCTTAGTAACAACTTATGAATTAGTGTGTAGTTTTATTGAGTTAAATGTTAACTAATAACTTGGTAATAGAAATCTTATAAATCTTTACGTTACTTACTTTCTATTAATATTAGATTCTTAAATCTATGGTAGTTCTGGTGTTGACTTAATTATAAACTAATGCAGTTTTAATATTAACTTATCAAATGTTGGCAATAAAACAGTTAATGTAAATAATATTGATTTATTTAAATATTTTATAAAAATATAAAAAAAACATTGCACATTCTATAACTTCATAAAAACGAAATAATATTCTAAAAGGCGAACGAACTCGTTCGGGTAATGTGTACGTATGATCATATAGGATATTTGGTTAATAAGGATACATCTCTCTCCTAATTTTGAAACTAGCTCCTTCAAATTCTCCGGTGTTCGTGTGCACAACACTTTCATTGAAATGGCTTC